CCCTTCCCCAGGGCCAGGGCTACTCCCAGGGCTGGGAGCAGAGGTGAGGAGTGTACGGAGGTGCATCGAGGTAATGCTTTTCTTCTCTCTGCAAGCTCCTCTCCCAGCACTCCCTACCCTGCATGGGCCTCCATCACCCATCATCAGCGCTCGAGAGGGGCTGTGGGAGGGAGGGGAGGTGACAAAGCCACAGCTCTCTGCTCCAGGGATGTAGAAGCAGCCTCCCCTGCGCTTGTGCAGCTCTGCTCTGTGCCAGTCCCTGGCACCTCCTGGGAGCACGCTGCCCACTGCCCGGCCTGCTTGACACTGCCTCCTTCCGCGCTCCCTGGCGCAGGAGCCGGGCTCACCAGGGAGCTCTGGGAGAAGGAACTACATGAACATCTCTGGCCAGGAGTCAGAGCAGAGGCTGCAGGAATGGGCTCTGCTCTGGCATCTCTGAGCCAAAACTGTCAGTGCAGGATGAGATGGTGAGTCTCCTGGACCGCGTGCTTACCTCTCACCTGAGGTCGAGAGCCACCGGGGGCTCAAGCAACTGTTCACAGTATTGGTGCCGGACCGTCGCCATGCTAAGGCAGGGTTTGCCACACTTGCACGTCCTGTGGAGCCACAGGACGCAGCACCTGAGCCCGCTGCGGTTTTATTTGCCTGAGGCCAAGAGATAACCCCACCCTCATCCTGCTGCCCGTGCAGCTCGTGCTCACCCCTTTCCCTGGGGTGGATGCTCAGCCACCACGGGGTGGCCCAGGCCGGTGGCTCTCCGCCATCACATTGCTGTCTGTCATGTAGACACCTGCAGTGGAGGACCTGGTTTTACGTTCATCCCTAACTGCTTTTTTTTTCCCCTCTTTCTGTTTTGGCGGACTGAAGAGTGAGAAATACATCGATCTGAGAAACTAGAGAGGGAATCTACTAAGTGCTTTCTTCCTTCAAACCTTTCCTGCTCTTGGATTGCCTTCTCCCATCCTTGCTCCAGTACCTGGGGAGCACGGCCAGAGATTACTGCGTCACAGTGCTGAGCCCCAACGCGCAGGGGGACACTCCCGTGACTCACCTGTCCGTTACCTCAACCATGGGCTTGCAGGTTGTCGACTTAGCAGCAGCAAAGCTGGACTTGCTTACTACTACAGAGAAGCCAACAGCAATATTAGAAAGAAATATCCCATTAAGCTACCTGGTGGAAGGATTTGAGGCTTTTTCAGGAAATCTGTCCTGTACGTGTGTGGGAAGGTTTTGATGTGTTGTACCCCAAACTTGCTCAGAAAAGCTGGTGAAATTTTACTTCTACTTTTGGGATGTCCCAGGCACCTTAGAGGTAGTGGTGTGCAGGTTAGACGAGTGAAGAATGAAAGTGGTGTATTAGAGCGGCATTTGCCAGCTGCTAGGGAGGTGTTAGTGCTTAGTGCTTTGCTTTTCCTTTTGAACTGTTCTTGTCTTGTTGGTTTAGCCCAGCGTGTCCTGACGGTGCTGTGCAGGTAGGGAGCTCCACGACAGGTAGCTGTGATCCTATGGGAGGTGAGTACCTGGCAGAGCAAGGACAGGGCGCCCATCTCTCAGGCACTTGCCAGACCAAGGGCTTAGGTTCTCTGGTTTGTAGCGTTGCCATGCTAACATGAAGGGGAGGGCTTCTCTCTCCCCACTGCCCAGGGAATTGGATTGCTTTAGGGGGGCTGCACAGCTGCTGGCAACAGCAGGTTCCGGAGCCCCCCCCGCCAATTTAAAACTAAGGAATATTAGGCCAGGGCCAGTTGGCGATGTCTCAGGGCTTTTTTTGTGCTGAACAATTACCAGCCCCAGGTAGAAGTGGTTTATTTCTGTGCTTCGGTGGCACCTCTGGCCCCACAGCCAAGCTGGTGCTACAGCAGCTGAGTGGTGGAGAGGGGAGATGGGCAAGCAGCCTGCCTTTAGCTTCTGCTGCTGTGGCCTGTCCCAGCCCTCTGCCTGAAGCATGGCTCTCCCTCCTGCCTCCTCCTAGAGAGATCAGCCCCCTGCAGCCCCTCCTTCTCTAAGTCACGTACTCTCAGTGTTAGCTGTCCACAAGCCTGTAACCCCCCCCAGCCCTTCGGCAAGGGGCTGAGGCTAACCCTGGGTGACAGGAGAGATGTCCCCTCGTGCACCCCCAGCATCCTCTGCCGGTAGCAGGGAGCCATGCAGCAGCCCAGTGGCCAGCGCCCTAACAAGCGGTGAGCTATACTCATGAGCTACAAGTGGTGTTGAAGCAAAAGCTTTGGTTTATATATATTTTTGTTGGATTGTGTGTAAATTTCCAGAAGTTTTGTCTGATACTTGCAAGGTTTTTTTTATATATGTGAAAATAAAGTACAAAGTTCAAAGCGGGGTTCTGAGTTTGTTCCCGCTAGCAGCGGCCCCACGGGGACTGCTCGATTTCAAGGTTCCCTTCCCCGGGAGCAGGTTACCAAGGCTGGGTGGCACCGTGCACACTCCCACCTTCAGGTTTGCTTCCACAACAGCGGGACTTTCACCTAGGAAATGGGCTTAAATCAGCAGTCGAGTCTCAGCTCAAACCCCTCCTCTCCCAGGCCCCCGGCACTCGGGACACTGCTGAAGATTGTGGTGGGCTGGTGGCTGCTGCCCCGGGGGTCTCAGCCCAGCTGCTCTCAGCAAGGCATCTGCAGCGGCACGCGCTGCCGCGGCACAGTTTTTGCCAGAAATGGCCCTTTGTTTCCCGGATGAAGCCAGCAGAACAGTTGTTGGCTTAACTTGCCTTTGCACTGCGGCTGGGGCAGGAAAATGTGTTCTGTTCACTGGTAATAGATGATGCTATTAACAGGTGGTGGACAAGTCCGATACCAAATACTAAGAGGTAGCAGTAGGTGATGGCTGACGAGGTACAGAGAGCTATTAGTCGATAAGCCTGCTGAGGTTCTAATAGATGACATGTTTATACCCCCTGTAGCTGGTAACAGATAATTCTATAGTTTCTAATAGGTAATTGCATTAACAGCTAATACAGGCACTAGTAACTACCAATACTAATAAATCTACTAAGGTATTCTAATAGATAATCGTAGTATTAGATTGTAATATGTAATTATATTACTAGTGATGGTAGATACTAAAAGATAATACTGTCAATGGAATTTAATAGATCCCAACAGTAGAATCTATTAGATGGTTGTATTAATAGCTAATACAGATACTAATAACTACTCATAGATAAGTCTGTCATTAGATTCTAATAGATAACAAGACACTATAGCAGAAAATTGTATTGATAGCTACTATAGATACTAATATATTAATGGATTTTTCCCTTAAAGAATTCTGATCGATTATAACTGTTACTCGTATACTAGCTACTCTGGATCCTGATAGATAATTCTTATTGATATATTCTAATATGTTTTAATTGGTAATTGTATTAATAGCTACTATAGATACTAAATACAAATAGGTAGTTAATTTATTAGAAGCTAATAGTAATAGCTTTTAATAGGTAATTGCAATAATAGTAATACAGATATGAATAGGTAATTCCGTTAAAAGATTCTCATAGATTATGAGACAAAATTGTATGGCTAGCTACTAAGTATAGTAATAAGAAACTCCATTCATGAATTCTAATAATTCTAATAGATAATTGCATTAATAACTACTATCGATAATTCTATAAGTAGATTCTATTATAGATTCTACTAGACTATTGTATTTCTAGCTAATATAGATACTAATAACTTAATGAATAACAGTATTATTAGATACCGGTAGCTTATACAAGAGAATCTTATTACCAGCTATTGTAGATATTAATAAATCTACAAATCTACAAATACATTCCAATAAATTCTGATAGTTAATTTTAGGTCCAGCTGCTGTAACTACTATTCATAGATAACTATTGTTAGATTCTAATAGATGTGCAGGTTGAAATAGCTATTTGTATTACTTCTGTAGGTACTAATACATAGTTCTATTATGAGAAGCTATAAGAAACCTGTGCTACTCCCTGCTGTAGGTGCTAATAATTACTAATAGACCATTGTTTTAATAGAATCAATTCTAAAAATTGAATTACTATTAGAAACTGTTAGTGCCTACAGTAGCTGTTATCTGATGTCTGATAGCCATAATGTTCTAGTCTAATAAAATCAATAAACAGAATTATCTGTTAATGATAGCTACTATAAACACTAATAATGCTAAAATCAACTCTGTTAGTGGATTCCAGTGGGTACCAATAACCTTAACAAATAACTCTTATTAGTAGCTCTGTAGATACTAATAGTTACTCATTGATAATTGCAGTATTAGAATCTATCAAGTTCTAACACAGATTGTTTTACCAGCTATGACAGATACTAAAAACCCAGTAATAAATAAATGCAATTCTGTTGTTGCACTGTTATCTGATTCTATAACATAGCTGTGCTAACAGCTAGGGTAGATGATAATAAACACTAATACACAACTCTGTCAAAACACTGACTTGTTGGAATCCATCAGACTGCTGTAGCTAAACTGTAGTAACACCTTCAACAGGTGGGAAGAGCCATGGATCTGATACTAAGATGTAGTGCAAATTATGGATGACGCCACAGGGCCCTGTGTGACCCATCTGATGCCTTTGACTCCATTTAACTAGACTGATAGCGCTTGATACCATTAAACCCCATGTGCCCCCCGCATTTGACCCCAGTTCATATTATTTAACCCTTCTTATCCTCCTTTGACCCCATACTCTCGGATGACCCTAATTAACCTCATTTGAACCCACAGTGACGTCTTTGAAGGGTTCACTTAAACACAGTTGACCCCCCTGTCCTCAGTTGACCCGTGGCCTCACTTGGCCCCAATTAACCTAATTTGACCCCATGGTGATATCTTTGAGGGGTTATTTGGGCCTCAGCTGACCCACCCCCCCGTGTCCTCATTTGACCCCCCCAGTTAACTTCATTTGACCCAATGTGACCTCTTTAA